CTTAACATGCTGTCTGAGTAGAGTGGAGGTTGGGAACACTTTATTGCACTTGAGGCAGGGCACGCGGCCCTTCATGTGAGTATAACGCAGGTGCTCCTTGAGAGAGCCTCGGATCTTGAAGCGCGAGCCGCATATGGTGCACTCCCACGGCATGAAGTCTTTGTGGGTGTCCACGTGCACCAGGAAGTCAGCCTTGCGCGCAATGATCTCCCCGCAGGTCTTGCACTTGTGCTGGCCGTCCACCTGGTACTCCTCTAGTAGCTCCTGGACCTGCGGAAGGTGAGGAAAGGTAAGTGGAGATAAAGGAGTTGGCAAACCACAATATGAAATGGGGAGGAAGGGACAGGAGGGATGGGAGGGAGGGAGGAGGGGAAGGGAGGGAGAGAGGGAAGGAGGGAGAGAGGAGGGGAAAGGAGGGAGAGAGGGAAAGAGGGAAGGAGGGGAAGGGGGAAGGAGGGAAAGAGGGGGGAGGGAGGGTGGGAAGTAAGTATGGGAGGAGGAGAAGAAGGGAGAGAGGGAGGGGAAGGGAAGGGAAGGTAGAGAGAGAGAATGAGAACAAGAGAAAGGGAGGGGGAAGATGGAGGGAGAGGGAAGGAGAGGGGGAGAGGGGGATGAGAGATGGATGAATGGATGGATGGATGGATAGATGGAGGGTCGGAGGGAGGGAGAGGGGGAGAGGGGGGAGGGAGGGGGGAGAGGGAGAGAGAGAGAGAGAGAGAGAGAGAGAGAGAGAGAGAGAGAGAGAGAGAGAGAGAGAGAGAGAGAGAGAGAGACGAGAGAGAGAGAGACAGAGAGAGAGAGAGAGAGAGAGACAGAGAGAGAGAGACAGAGAGAGAGAGAAGAGAGAGAGAGAGAGAAGAGAGAGAGAGAAGAGAGAGAGAAAGAAGAGAGAGAAAGAAAGAGAGAGAAGAGAGAGAGAGAGAGAGAGAGAGAGAGAGAGAGAGAGAGAGAGAGAGAGAGAGAGAGAGAGAGAGAGATTAAACATCTCTATAAAAACAAATGTGGTGTGAAATAACAAAATGTCAAGGTCAATGCAGGTCTTGCCCTCAAATAAACAGGCTACCATATAAAGACAATCCCCGTCACAACACGACAGCTAAGTATATGTTGCTCTTTCTAAAATACAAAATAAAAACAGCTTAATGTTCAAGAACATTCTACATAGATGGAAAATCCTTTTAGGGGATCATTTATATTTAAACACAATTATCATGTAATAAATAAGAACTCTTTTACATACCACATGTGTTGATGCACAAGCAGCTGTACAACAACGCATAGCATTATAGGGAACAAGGATATCATGGAACTATCAGCCACTATCGGCTCAATTTGGGACTATAAAGGATTATAGTACATGGGTATGGTTATACCAAACACTATTTACCCTTTTCATCACAAATGATACGATAAACATTGGCAGTGGTGGACTGAGTCGCAGATGGCACCATATCGCAACATACCTCACGTTGTTAGCTCATTGGACGAGCTCACCTCTCTCCAATAGTAGCAAGTTCCTTTGTGTCACTATTAGATACATGCACGTAATGTGAAGGGAAACCTCTACTTTCTTATTCTTTTTCTGATGAAATACAATTATAAGCTATTAGTTGCCTATATTGTGTGTGAAGCACCAAACAAGCACTGCTCAAACAGGGATAACTACTGATTTGCGCCAACAACTTGCATTACTGGCCACTAGCCAATTTTTAATTTAGCAGTTAATGGGTTAAGTTACTTCAACTTAGATGCAAGGAGAATTGGAAGATAATTTTATATGCACTTAATGCCCAAACATCTTTAACAAGCCTGTTTTTTGTTTTTTTGTTGTCATTATCTTTCCCAGGTATCTATTAATACTTAACCACTCACATCTCCACGGTGGAAATAGCTATTGAGAACGTTACACTGCCTTGTAAATTTATGGTAAATATATGACTTGCCTATTCACACTTTTAAGTTATGGAAGCAAGAATCTTTCTTTGTGAGCATGTAATTTTTAGAAGTTTTCCTGACAGATGAAAGTCCAAATATTCCTGTGAAAATTCTACCAAATAACGTCAATCCTTTGATTTCTATTCCGTGTTCTTGCATGCCTGTTTCACCTAAATTTCATCAAAAGAGAATAGATGGCTTTCCTTTTCGATTAGTTAAAACCTTGAAATGAGCTGTGCTACAAAAAGGTTATAAAGTCCCCCCCCCTTCACCTTTGACCCCTTTAATTAACATGACAACATGTTTTCAGCAGCAGATGGTAGATGTTTGGTCCCCATACTAGAACGGCTTTACTAACATAACACTTGACAAGCTTATAATCACTGAAAATTGCCTGAAATCTCTATAGTTTTATTACAATTAGTAATATGCAATAAATTTGGAGGCCAGAACTTCTAAAGTTTTAGCGTATCAAGTCCATAATTAATCTCCAGTAATGTTGTATGATTCTTATTCCTAACCTGTATGCACATTTAATTTTGTCAGTGAAGTTTGGACACAATCTATTGATATGTAACCTGTTTAAACATAAAGATCAACTGAGAATTTCCTTCTTGCTCTGATCAATGAAATGTTTTGAAATGCAATTTCATTCCAGTTCTGTTTGATAACATAGACACACAACAATAAATACCTATAAGGAAAAAAGAGAGGGGGAAAAAAAAAAAAAAAAAAATGCCAGTAACATGGACCCTAATTTCAAAAATATCAATAACAATGATGTAAATCTCTGCCCTCATTGGAAGAAACAAGGGAATTTTTCTTCAGGGACCTCGGAGAAAACATGACAAGAATTCTGTGGACGCTGAGCCCTGAACTTGATAATGGGAAGAAAATCAAATAAACATGTTGGAAGAACACTAAATATGTGAAAATTAAAACATTAACTCTGAATATTTCTAAAAAAAAAAATGTAATGAGCTACAGGAATATGATTCTGTATTATGAAAAATAAAGTATAAGTGATCAGACTAATGCTTAAAGAATATGGGTAACAGGCTTAATTGAGCAGCCACTCTGATGGGGGTGTGGCATGTAGGCCAGGTGCACAGGAACACCCATGAGTGGTGACAAGATTCCATGCCAACCCCTTAAAATATTTTTTCTTTTTCTGCATAAGCATTTTTAGCACTTTTGCCATTTTCCAATGTCTGTATTTGTCATTTGATATCCTTTATCCAGATGGTAATAGATTGTGTAACACTTTGTTCTGCTATCATTTTTTTCTCTGTAATATTCAATATTCTGTAATGCAACCTACACTGCTGGTCATGATGGGCAGGAACAGGACTCTGGGCATGGAAAGAGTGTCCTCCATCACATTTCATACTTCCCTTCCTATATGACCACTGAGTCTAATCACTCTCCAAGAGCTTTGTGCACTCATGGCCAGTCATCCCTGTCACTCTGGCATTCAGCTGAAATTCTCATTACGGCAAATCCTCCTCACCCCAGCCTCTGTCAAATCTTTCCATGACATAATGTTCACATCATCTGCCCCCCAAGCCAATTTTTTTTTTTTTTCCTTTTAATAACAAAGGTTCAAAGCCACTGGTCCTAGATATAAATTGGCTTTAGTAATGCAACCCTACATTATATTATGACCTAAAAGCCTGTCCAAACTTATCTCACTCTGGTGGTTACTTTGTATCTAACCAATATCTCAAAAGTGCAAAGAAAGAGCAAAATTCCTCCATTCTATGCAATAAATCCCTGTGGTTGTGATTAAATCTTTTTGTATGAAATAATTTACAAATAGAAATTTCCCCACGATTTCAACCACACTGGGTATCAGAAAAGCTTATATGTGGGCAGCTGCAAAGGTCCAAATGCACAAAAGCAGCTTGTGATTACCCAAGAGACTGGGGAACACTGAAACCCCAAAATGGTTTCCATAAAGGTGAGATTTGCATGAAGTTTCCTCAGGGGTGCCAAACTCTAGCTTTAGATCCATCATACCCTAATGTCATTTAAAAACACACACACACACACATATATATATATATATATATATATATATATATATATATATATATATATATATATATATATATATATATATATATATATATAAAATACTTTAAAGAGATTTCCTACAATTCATGTACTCTAATACATGCAAATAACTAAAAAGTAAATATCTAAGTAAAATCTGAGTACAGTACAGGTAAAAAGCAATTCTGTACAATCGAAGGATGTCGTACAGCTAAGAAATCTATGTCATTTGTCTTGCTCCTACAAAAGCAAAAACAAATGCCAGTTATTCACAGAACACTACAACATAATATGAAACTAGAAGAAACTATTTAATACACATTGATTACACCATGATAAAAACAGTTTTACTAATCTTACTATAAAATAAAAACTTTAAAGAGATCTACCACATATTCTAATCATCATTTTAAAACTTGAACATCACTTTGTTCTTGGTTAGAGACCATTAAATGAAGGCAGGCACCTCCAAAGGTGTTCTCAGACCGATTCCAAAAAAATGTGTTGCTAGTTAACCATTCATCTATAATATAAGCATCAATATATTCATGTTTATGCACAACAATCATGATACAGTGGTGCTTTAACGAGAATCTATTGATGTTTTTGTTATAAATGAATGTTTAAACAAACATTCATATAAACAACAAACAAACATTTTTTTTTTTTTTGGCAACAGTCTATGAACATCTTCAGATACACATCCCCTTAAAATAATCATGGCTTACTGACAAAAAGTCATCTAAAAGGCTTTCAAGGAGTAGACTCTGCCTCTGATCAAAACAGAAGTGATATGTCTACTTTGCTTGTTTATGAAAGCAGCAAGATCCAAGCCCAATACAACCCCATCTCCCATGACATTTTGTGAAATGGCATTTGGCAACTCAGTGCAAATGGCAACTGGAGCTTGAAATTTTTACTTCAGCAAACTGCAATTATGCATTTATTACATTATGAGGTGTTCAGTTTCATTATTTAGTAATTATAGTATTTTGCTACAGTTGGTATCTAGTGTCTAAACTTTGTCATTGGCATTATTGTGTCTTACTTCTCAATTCAATTCTTACCTTTTTTGCATTCACTTTGTATTACTATCTCCTAACTACTGAGATTCATCAGTAATCTATCTATATCTTTTGTGGGACATGTAGCTCAACATTATAAAAGCACAAAATCATAAAATGATTATTCATGAATCCTGCAAACAAAGAGAAAACTGGATAGTCCAAATGATAACACAGGGAGAAAAATGAAGGAAATGCTTTACTTCATTAAGTTCAAAATCCATAAATACTTAAATGTTCATGCTAACTGCTTTCTTGGAGTATTCAACAATCTCACACAACTATAAACCAATCTTACAATACCTGTTGTGAATGAAGACATAGAAAGAGAAATCTACAATAAATCAACAGAGAAAACAAAGCATGATTATTACCTTTGGTCCATACTGAGGGTGAGCTTGGACATCCTTCACAATGACGTAACACTCAAGCATGTAGAGACAGTTCCATTTGCACCGGTCTTCGGAATGCAATGCCACTTCCTTCTGGTTTTTAAAGCCATGAGCACAGTCACTACACCAGTACCTCATAGACTTAATATAATGGCTCCACTTAAAATCCTTGGCTCTTAACTTACGAGTTGACACAGGTCGTGGAAGCGTTTTTATGATCACTGAGTTCTCATTATGGAACACTTTACTGGTATGTGATTTCTTTGCTTTTTTACCCACCACCTGCCCCGAGGATGATGAAAGTTTGTCCCCACTGTCAGGCTCATTGCCTGATTCAGATGAGTTGACGGCCATCTGCTGCGCCTTGATGGTGGCAATGCACTGCTCTACATTGTCCTGTTCCTCCATCTGTGAGTCTGCCAAGATGATGGAGGATTTGACTAACATGTTGCCAAGCGGTCCATCCTCCTCACTCGACTTCTCAGCTCTTATTGCTTGGATTTGTTCCTCCAGCTCGGTCTGACGCAGTTGTTCCTGCAGGTGGCGGTGCCGGCGCTCCTGCCGCTCTCTCACGAGCCTAGCCTGTTTGACACGCTTAGGACCTATGAAGATTCCCTCCCGGCTTTGACTTTTACGGCGTCGTTTTGCTGGTCTAAGCTGAACAAAGGTTGGAGATCCATCTTCACTATTTATTTCACTATCTGAGGAATCGCAGGACTGAGAGTTACCTTTCACTGCTGAGGGATGAGTGGGCAGGACCCCATAGCCATTAACAGACCCATTTTCATGGACTGTTATAGTGCACTTGTAGTCATCTAGATCATCAATTTGGCTGTATTGTTTAGCTGCCAATGTTTTGCTCTTGGGTCCAATCTTATACACAGGTTTCTTTGGGACTGAATTTGTTGGGGGCCGAGCAGTTCCCTTTGACTTGCTTTGGTAATCCATGTGATTGTCTACAGCAGCAAGTTTTTCCTTCTGGAAATCAGGATCCTCTGCATTTGCCCGTTCGGCAGGCGGATAATGCCCAAGCTGCTCCTCTTCCTCATTCTCTGCAGGTTCTTGCTCAAGAGCTTCCTCCAGATCTTGCTCTGATTGTCTGGAGGCCAGAGCCTCCTGTGACCCCTCTCCTGCCTGGGGCTCAGGTGTTGCTGCCATTGACTGGGGTGGCACTTCCTGCTGCATCTGGAGTTGTGGTTCTGGCTGTTGCTTGTGGGCCTGTTGCTGTTGTGGTAGTTGCTGTGGTTGCTGTGGCTGTTGCGGTGGTTGTTGTGGCTGTTGTGGTTGCGGTGGTTGTTGTGGCTGTGAGTGGGAGGGTGGCTGTGCTTGTGGTGGCTGCATCTGTGGTGGCTGTTGCTGTGGTGTTTGTGGAGGTGGCTGAGGAGTGTGTGGGGGTTGCTGTGGGGTGTGTGGGGGTTGCTGAGGGGTATGAGGCTGCTGTGCCTGTGGGGTATGTGGCTGTTGCTGAGGTGTGTGTGGAGGCACAGTTTGTGGTTGTGGCTGTGACTGTGGTGTTTTTGGGCGTGGAGTTTTGGGCTGAGGGGGCTGAGGGGGCTGAGGCCCCTGTGTCTGGAGGGCCTGGGGAGGCCCACCCTGAGGCTGAGGGGGTTGGTGTTGCGTTTGTATTGGGGGCTGCGGCTGAGACTGCATGATCTGAGACTGCAGCATTTGCTGTGATTGTGCCTGCAGAGACTGTGATGGCTGTGGCAGCTGAGGCTGTGCTGGCTGTGACTGTTTCTGTGGCTGGGAATGTTGTTGCTGTGGCTGCTGCTGTGAAAGCTGTGACTTTTGCTGTTGCTGCTGGCCTGCAGTTGGGTATGGGTATGGAGCATATGACTGTGGGAAGCCAGCAGGCTGGTGGCCCTGGCCACCCCAGATATTCCAGCCTGACTTAGAGTCCATGCGGCCAGCACCAGCTGCAGCATACCAGTGGGCAGCTGGATATCCTTGCTGACCTGGGGGGCCCCGGCCAGCCAGCTCAGGAGGATAGCCTGAGCCTGGCGATGCTCCATATGGAGATGCATAGTTATTTGGCATGGGGTGGTAGCTGGAGGACTTGTGAGCTGCCATGGGAGACTGGGGGTGCTGACCGCCTGCAGAAGACTGACTATTACTACCCTGAGAATATCCATACGGGTACTGAGTGCCTTGACCTGAGTATCCTGAGCCCACGCCGCCTGACCAGCTGGAGTAGCCAGGCTGTTGGGGCTGCCTCTGCTGCTGTGGGTGGTGGTGCTGCTGCGGCTGCTGTGATGGGGGCGGCTGTGGCTTCGGGGCCTGCTGAGCCTGGGACAGCTGTGGTGGGTGTTGAGCTTGAATCTGTGGGGGCTGCTGTGCCTGTGTCAGCTGTGACTGCTGCTGTGGCTGTGATAGCTGCTGGGTCTGTTGGGATTGGGAGATTTGTGGAGGTTGTTGCTGTGACTGGGAAAGTTGTGGGGGCTGCTGAGTCTGTTGTGCTTGATGCTGGGACTGCTGTGGCTGCTGGGAGTTCTGCTGGGACTGCTGCCCTTGATGATGGTGAACCTGCTGCCCTTGCTGCTGCTGCTGCTGCTGTTGCTGCTGCTGTTGCTGCTGCTGTTGCTGCTGCTGCTGCTGCTGTTGTTGCTGCTGCTGCTGCTGTTGTTGCTGCTGCTGCTGCTGTTGCTGCTGCTGTTGCTGCTGCTGCTGGCCTTGCAAGTGCTGTGGAGGCTGTGGCTGTTGATGTTGGGACAGCTGTGACTGTTGCTGTGATAACTGTGACTGTTGATGCTGAGACTGTTGGGCTTGCTGGTGTTTTGGCTGTGGTACTTGATGCTGTGCACCAGATGCTGGCTGCTGCTGCTGATTAGTCTGTTGATAGCTAGTCTGCTGTTGCTGTGGCAACTGATGCTGCACATAGTGAGACTGAGCTGGGCTCCAGGACCTCTTACCAATCTGTGACACCTGCTCCTTCAAAGCTGCAGTGGCCTTTTCCATGGATAATGGCTCCTTGGCAACCTCCTGGGGACTAGGTTGTTGATTTACTATGGAACTGTTAGTTCTGTCATCCTCTTTCTGCTGTGGAGAATTCACCCGAGTAGAATCACTGGCATCTTCCATACGAGAATTCAGGTGGCGTTTCTTTTCTGTCTTTTCATACATCATCTCTTCCTGAACATGGGAGGTTTCCCTTGATGGAACATGGTGGAGAGAGGGGAGTGTTCCATGGATAGTTGTTGGGGATGACGGCACATGACGTGACAAATCCTCAGGAACATCTCTCCTCTCATCTGCCAAGGACTTTTGGTCCTCTTTCTGGCTGTCAGGTGTTCCATGGGACATCTGCAATCCTTTGTGCACATCTACTTGCTGGCTGTGATGCTGATCTGGCACTACTTGCTCCTTCTGCCCCTGGGTCTCCCTCTCTGGCATGCTGTACTCCTCGGCAGCTGTCCGAGATGCAGTCCGTGAACAGTGAGAGTTTTCTGCCGACTGCTGTTTCAGCTGTGATATTCTCTGCTCAAACCCATCTGGCATAGATGATCTTCCTGCTGGGGACACCTGTCTTCTGGTTGGACTATGACCTGTCAAACTATTAGGTATTTCATGTGCAACATTACTTTCACGTTCAATCACCCTTTCTTTTGTTTCTCCAATAATACTAGACACTGAATAAGAACTTGTTTTCCTTGGCTTACTGTAATTTGAACTTACTCCTATCTCAGTTCTGGTGTCACTCACTGGAATATTCTCTGGCACTGAGCATGTTGGGCTTGAATACGCATGTCTACTATGAGCCTGAGAAACTTGCGTATCTGTCCTCATGGAGTATGTCATGGATAAGCTACTAACTGGTGTTCGCGCACTGTGGTGGTCTTGACTGGTCTCCATCAGGGGGTGTGGTGCTGGGGGGGTTTGAGAGGCAGGGTGGTGATTGGAGGTGTGTTGAGCCGAGTGCTGAGATGAGTGGTGTTGTGGGTGGTGCTGGCTAGGGGGGTGTTGGCTAGACATGTGTTGGCTGGACAGGTGCTGGGTGGACGGGTGTTGAGGCCCAGGAGTGACAGCTGGAGCAGGAGTGTAAGCTGGAGTAAGAGGTGAGGGGGATGCATGCAGAGACGGCAAAAGGCTCTGCTTCTCCCCCCAGCCCATACGCTCCAATGCCATCAGGGGGCTGTCAGGAGCACCCACTCCACCTGCTCTGGTGCTGTTGGGGGGCCCAAGGCTCGAACTGAGGGCAGAGGGGACTCCCGAGGAGGTTGTTGATGAGAGAGACTGAGTGAGGTGACTTCCAGCGCTGTGCTGTAAGCTGTACACACTGAGTGGCGCTTCATGAACTGCGTGCACCGATTTCATGTGGGCGAGACATTCACTCATCAGACGAAACACTTGCCCGCACACCTGACATCTTCGCATTTTGTCCAGGTCTTTCTTCGATTCAATGATGTCGACTGGGGGGCTTGGAGTTGCACCTGTTCCTGCTAGTCCACTTGGGATGTTGTGAGGTCCTGGGGATGGAGGCGTGGAAGTAACAGGTGATAATAAAGATGATCCCCCATGGCCCACACCCAGTCCAGCAGCAGTCAGTGGTGACGGACT